GTTTCGTCTGGCATAGCCAATGAAAAGGAAACTCCCACCGATGAACTCGCTATAGAGTTCACATTATTAGTGGAAGATTCATCTGCGGGGCGAGAGTTGAAATACTCAAATGTAAAGATTTTGTCTTTTTGTGATACTGAAGTAATCATTTTACCAGCTGGCCTAACGCCCGAGAGCGTTAAAAATTGCGTAGGTTGCGATGACATTAAGCGTCTGACGTAGTCTTTTCCTATGGACTTACTTTGCTGTCTTGTTAAAATCAGCTGCGCATACATTGACGAAGGTGTGAGTTGAGGCAAAGAAGTCGTAAAGGGAGCCATATATGACATTGTGTCTTTTTCAACTTCTGTGGAGCTAAACTGCGTAAGCGTTGGCGAGATTGCGGCTTGCCATGGCGGGATCTTTTCATCTAAGACCGTCTGTTTTACATGGTCTGCATTCGTCGATGAGTTTAAATTTCGAGATAATGAAATTTGCATGCGTTTGGTTAAAGGAGATGATGATGTGACGTGTTCTTTTGCCGAAGAACTGGAATTCGCATTCATCGGTACTTTAGGTAGCCTGGATAATGATGCTGTTGATGATTCAAAATCGCTACTCGACGACCTTTGTATTGGTGGAAATTTTAAATCCAAGAATGATTGCGATGATCCACTAGCTAGTGAGAAGTCCAAGGATTCAGCAACGGCCTCATTTCTTTTAACTGACGGAAAAAATGGGCCAACATCCTTTAACGTCTGGGAAACTGCGCTGTGTTCAAAAAACGAAAACTCTGTCGATAGCGCAGGTGCAATTAGAGTTTTTTCATATTCCCTTGTTGTTTTATTAGGTGAGGGGGGATTTGGTGAGAGTTCTTTCTGGCTGGGTACGGACAATGAGCGTAAGTACTCTATACTCTTAGATGACAATGGATACCTTTGAGAAGAGACTAATGAAGTATGGCCAAGAAAGGATGTGGTAAATCCATTCAGCATTGGAGTTAAGTTGCTAAAGCTTGTACCAGTTGATAATTGCTTGTATTTCCTGGTCGACATACTTTTTAGTGATAACACACTATATGTGAAAACGCCTTCTGTTACAGGTGGCGTACGCCGTCTGAATGAGGCAATGGTTACGTATTCTTTGCGACGTGGTAGTGCTTCTTCGTTTACAGCAGAATACGATGAGGGTCGAATTGACTCTACAGACGATGGTCCAGAGAAGGAAGACAGGGTCGCTTTTATGGCTTCACCTTTCTGTTTTGAGCCCATTTTCGGTGACAGAGGTAAGTTGAAGTGGATTTCCGAAGGAATGGACGGGGAAAACAACACGGTGGCTTCAGGGGTTGAATTTTTCGATGCTGACATTGGAATGTTGGTCCTTGACAGTGAAGTTGCAACGGATTCTGATTCCAATTCTGATTGAGTCGAGCGAAACTGCATTTTTGTCGATGATGTAATGGCTTGTCCTGGTAATGGACGCATGAAAGAATCGATTTGTGTTGCCTTAACGTCGTCCTTTAGTGTTCCAGAAGGCACTTTATACCATGAGGAAAGTACATTTTGACTTAAGGATGACCTTGGTAACCACTCTATTTTTAAAGTCTCTTTCCCCTTTATTACTTGGGTACTTTCTGTGACTGATGATGATACACGCTCCCTGAGCAACGAACTGTTAAAGGAATCAGTTTCATTGTTAACCAAATTTTGTTTCATTATTGAATTCCGTAGAAAACCAGAATCCTTGCTTGTTATTGAACCCTCCTCCTTTGGAGCTAAGGTTGTCCGTGAAGACAAGGAAGTTGTAATAGGAACTATGGACGAAGAAATATCGTTAGACTGCATGTTGGTCCTTACCTCTCTTGGTGTTGAATTAAACTGTGGATGAGGTGACGAAAGCACCGGTTGATTGCGTAAAACACTGGTTGAAATTGCACTTTGAAGAAGAGAACCTTCTTCTATGGCGCTGGAAGGATGGGCGAGATGCAAGGCCGAAGGTGGGTTTTTAGAATACATGATTAAGGTGTCTTTTGTTGTTATTGATGATGGCGGCTCTTCCTTTGACAGTGAAATAGATACATCTCCACTTTCTATGTCTTCACTTCTCCCTGCTCTTACAACACTAAACCATTTGCCACTTTTTATACTTCTGCCACTGTTACCCCACTATCATTTTGGTCATGGTCACCTTGAGTCTAATTATGACCCCCTTCCTTCATTGTTAAAACGAAGTAGATTACCGCACGGTATTTTTGATAAAGTAGGTAGAAGTTGGAAACTTGTTGATGGTCTCGAAGACATCTCTTTCTCAAAAGAATAGGTGCTTTTGTTTAGAGCTTCTTTTGGCAATCCTGAAACGATAGTCGAAAATACAGACCTTGACAGTCTCCCGTGACTATAGCCAGTTGATGATTTCAAACGCTTACTTGTTGATAAAGCTATGCTTGGTGTCGGTGGCCAGACGATGATTAGTTTTTTCGTGATTTCAAAAGGTATAGTCGTCTTGGTAGGACGAACACTCTTGACTGCACTCATTCCTTCTGAAATTGTCTTAGTTGATTTCGTATTTATATCTTGTCCCTTCGAGGCATGAAAATATTTTGTAAGGGTGTTTATCTTTGATGACAATTCGATTGTGTCCTTCCACAAGCCTTCTCCTTCAACTGGCAATTCAGCTGTTTTCCTAGTGTCATCTACCTCTTTCTTAGTAGAAGGAAAAGATCGAGGAGTTATATTATGACCAGATGGGTGAAGAAAGGATGACAGACCTGAAGTTTTACTTGCAGTTTTCAGCAGAACACTGCCCGACCGCACATCATTTGGTTCAAAGAATAACATTGTTTCCATAGGTGGCAAGAAAGACGTCGTCCTTACATTTAAGAAAGAAGATTGAGTTTCGTCTGATGATGAAGGAGCGCAACCCACCGGACCTGATGATCCGTCAAAAGATGTCAATACTGTTGATGGGGGTGTTCTTGCGCTGCGTGTCATTATCAACTTTGAAGATATTTTTTCTAAGAGTTTGCTTGACTCAGTAACCTTGGATTGACGAGAAAATGAGTTTGTGGACATAACTAGATGTCTTGAATTTATATCAAATACCGAAGACCCGGTCTGTGGCTTCAATGTCGTCGACTGTTCTGCATTACGTAATAAAGAATCATTGAGTGACACCATTTTCCCTTGGATAGAAAAGGGTGTCGTCACTGAAGCATTTGTCACAACGTTAGCTTCAGACGCAGCCATGTTGGTGTTCTCAGTCGTACTCAGTGCGTCGCTGGAAGACGAGGGATAATAAGATACTGCCCGTTTGCCTGATAAAGACACAAAATTGCTCCTTTGAATCGTGTGTCTTTCTGACATCGACGTTTCTTCAAAGGCTTTTGTACTTGAAGACGTACTCTCATTCAAAATTGAACTGGACGCCAATTTCTCCCTTGGTCGTAGTATTATGCTATGGGTTACAAATAATGGGAAAATGCTGCCGCCAAAGGTGAGAGCTTGTGACCCTTCGGGAGATCCAAGGACAACTGAATGAGCGTTGGTTGTCATTTTGGAAACCATCTCGGTTGGATCCGTGGGTAGGGAAAGCCACTTTGAAAATGATGGCCTTACAACTAAAACGTTGGCTTCAGTCGTAGATAGTTTGTTAGAAGGGAGAATGGGCGTCCTTGCTAAGGTGTGCCCAAGTTCTGCGCTATCCAAAATTTTATTCAGTTCTGAAGTAGAGATTTTCCGCACGTCAATGGAAGAGAATGGCGTAACGCTTTGATCATGGTCAGAGGAAACAGGAATCATTTGTCCGGTAACTGAAAAGTAACTTCCATGGGTAGTTCTGGACGCTTTTATCGTTGACACGAGAAATGAATTGGCAGGGAAATGGAATACCTCTGAGGAAGTCAACGTATAACCTGTTAGCGAAGACGGTGTTGACTGAGACAAATCAAAAAAGCTCGTAGAAACGAGTGGCGTCCTTGCTATTTTGTGCGAATCCAAAAAATTATCTTTAGGAGTAATTGACGAGGAGGGATTACTTTCATAACTCGTTCCTGTAGAATTCACTGCGGGAGTTTCCTGCAATAATGAAGGCGTTTCCACATTGATGATGTCCGAAGTGTTTGCCATCTTTCCTTTAATAAGAACAAAGACAAGAGCAACCTTAAAAATATATAGCTGATCATAACTAAAGATATTCAAGCAATAGAAAACTAAGCTACGATCAGTATATTGTGAGATTTAGGCAGCATAAGCGTAAGACGAAAGAGTCCTGAAAATATGACGCGAAAAGTTGAGCTAGTTTAAAAGTGTGTTCACTCGTAGCCATTAAGACGAAACTATGGGTTAAGGTTCGCGTTAAGCTTGCATTGTAAGTTAACGCTACTATTTTTCAAAAATTACTGAGCCTGCCAGGTAAAAAGCGAAAATGCCCGTGTTGAATATCACAATAACCGTGTCTTGGCTAGCCGGAGAAAACAACTGACATTTCACGACGCCACCAACTGTATCCCCGCGAAATGACGTCTCAGGAACGAGTGCAGAAATTTAATGCTGATGACGTCACACTATCCAGATCATGATAGTTGAACAGTTGAAACAAATATCCCTCCTGTTACGACCATTCAGAAGCATTTTTGGGTAGTGATATGTCATCAGTATGAAATTTCTGCTGTAGCTCCTTAGACGTCACTTCGCGGGAATACCAGTCGTGACGTCGTGAGATGTCGGCTGTTTTTTTTCAGGTATTTCTCCTCCCCTAGTCCTAGTGATACCAAACATAACACAATTCCTACTTCTAACTGAATACGGACGTCTCTGTAAAGCGCACCCTTCGGTCTCTTCGGTGTCCATATTAAGGATGTTTAACAATACAAAACGCTAAGTAAACCTTAAAAATAATTTCCTTAGTTTACAAAATTTAGAAAAATGTAATTATCATACTGTACGCCAAGCTAATCTTAGTATCATGGTTATGTTGCAGGCTTCGATAATACTTTTTATAAAAAGCAAAACTGCTACATTGACACCTTCTGTAGGGCACTCCTGTGCGTTGCAGAGCTCCACTGCGTATCTATCACCGAGACAGCTAGATCTGTCAGTAGACTGGTTAGGCGTTTTGCAATAACGAAACCTCATCCTTGCTCCACCTCCGCACGACGCACTACAATCATCCCACGGACCCCATTCCGACCATTCAGACATCATCTCATCACATGGCATATCACCGCATCGCTGAACGTCTGTCTCTCCACCTAGGAAGGACGAAACGTCTCCGTTGCCGCGCTTTCGAGCCCGCACTTTGATTCCACCTCCGCATGTGGCAGAACAAGCTGTCCACCTGCCCCACTCTATCAGTAAGTCTAAGCGGTTGCCCTGAAGATATGTCTTAGATATGTCTTGACTTCAGCTGCTTCTGGAACAAAAAAGGAAAACAAAAATCGGCCAAAACTAACTTGTCCCCTTCATACTTTTACCATTTTTAAAAATTTGATGTCACCAATGTTCACTCTCAAGCACTCAAGAAGGATTAAATGTCCAATACTCCATAAGATTTCTAAGTTGCAATCATTCCAACCTACTAATATAATTTTATTGTACAGAAAGCGAAAGACCATTGTATAAGCACTGCGAATTGAGGTACTCATATAAATTTTCACAGCCCCGTTAACATTATTCAAAGCACTTCCTCAGAGGAGAAATTTGCGTTTCTTTAGATCCTTCCACTTGCCTTGTAAAACTTTTGTATGTTTTATCGGTATCCAGTATTCAAAGCTTATGTTAAGTTTTCCCGTAATAAGCAGACACTAAAACGAAGCATAATAGTAAAAATCAGTACAAAGAAAAATTCTGCCAAAGCTTTTAAAGTATTCATTAGGAAGCCTAATATATAAAAACAAATATTTATATTTCGATTTGGTTTACCCTCAGTAGACGTGGGTTAGTCAAACCGTGTTTTCGGGTAAAGTTAAAATTCCCTCACGACGTTGTGACGGCGCGCGTAGATCTAAAATTGAATTGGCCAATAGCAATGTGGCAAATTAAAAAATGGATGTTGCATTCAGTCTTTTGTGTGAACTTTTACATTCTCATTAGACATTGTGTGATCTTTGCTAAATCTACCTAATAAACACTCCAACGTCCACTAAGGAACCTTACGTGCTTCACAAATTTGAAAAAATAAATAAAATAAAATCACTGGGGTACATTCAAGGCCGACGGTTGCACTGGTGTTAAACGAGGTAGAGACCTAATGTTGACGATCTGTTTTGCCAAGGTTGTTTACAAGAATAATTACTAACTTTTTCGGGCAAATCTGCGTTACCAGAAATACCAACTGAGATGGAAAAAGAAATGTTACTTATGCTGTATAGAAGTTAAGAGCGACTAACCATTACATAAATATCTTCTTCGGTGGGTCCTGGTATCTGGATGGTTTCTTTGATATTGTTTGAAAATTTCGTGTACTGAACATCCACGTCACCAATTTTGTACAAACCAGACCAACTTGCTATCCGATCGCCATTGAAGACATAATCACCATTTTTTCTCTTAATAGCTGAAATGAAGAATTTCAGAATGTTATAGATGGATGAGTAAAGAATAAGCTCATCCGAAATTTAATTCGGGAACCCCGATCTCAACAGACGAATTAAGTATTTGTACATAGAGATTAGTATAAATATACAAAGTACTATATGTCAGGACAGAGCGCTCGGTTTCGAAGGGGTATATATAAAAAAGAAGCAATTTGCATTAGACGGTACCACCCTACCCTAACTAAGAACTGTGTCAGATCGCAAGTGTTATCCACCAGTGGAAACCTAATTATCAATTCTTGGTCTTAATGGAAGTACCCAAGCTAATATAAGCTTTAATTTTACATGCATTTTACTTGACTATGTGTTTTGTCGGTTTCGGTTTTTCCAGCCAGGAAAATATGTGGGAAAGATCATATAAGTACCTAAATAATTCCAGGTTTCGTCTGAAAGAAACACACTCGTTGACCCTTTTGGAATGACCATTACCTCTGCATACCCTAATGAGAAAATTTTGTTAACAGTTACACATTGTACAAAGTAATTTCCTGTTAAACAGATATTAAATTGTGAATCTTACACAATAAAAAGAACTCTTAGCTAAGGAAAGCCTTAATTGACACTCAAACCAAGAAAAAGCGCAAGGAATACAAAACCCCACAATAAAACAAGAAATATATATCTGTATGCTTAGCTCTTAATGTTCGACCCACAAAGCAGTCACCCTCTCACCTGACATCTTTTCAAAATGATTCGGCGATCTTTCTATTCTTCCTCTGACTGGCTCGCACGTCGTGGAATTCCCACCACATACGCGACACTTGTCAGGGTAGACACCTGACTCGAGAACATTGTCACATCCCACTGGCTTAACCATGAAAATATGCAAAAAGCAGATTACTTAAACTATATGGGCGCAGTGTCATCAAGAAAAGCTATGACTCGAACATCCTGATGAAGTATCAAAACAAATCGACTCAAGTGAATTGGCAATCAACTAGAACATAAAAGAGATTTAAACATGAATTCGGTTAGGAAAAGGTTCGTATGGAAGGTGACTAAAACTTGAAAAACTCGGTCCCTTTTCCCTTTTATTTATTTGGGAAAAATCGATCACAGCTTTCCTTTTACTATGTGGAGTATAATAATTCTTTTGTTTGGCTTTGTTGTTTTGGGCTGAATGCGTATCATATACAGCACTTCGAATCACTGTGATATTAGTCCTTTTTTATTTTTAGACGAAAAATTCATTTTACCTTACATTGCCCACGTATACATACGCCGCGAGGTTCTTTGGAGCACTGAGTCCCATCCTTTGCTTTTCCAAAATAATAAAATAATTGTCCTCCTTGAGGGTAGCAGAACAGCAAGCACTGATTGTCACCTGAAAATAAATTACACCGAATTGGTAGCTGAAACGATTTCATTCAATTTTGAAGAATTTCAATGCGCATGGTATACAAGCAGCTGCTTTTTAAAAATGCGAATTGTTACCGGCGATTACTTAAGTAAATAGCAAGTAAGATATTTGATTTGGGATTTTTTTGGCTTTAGAAGTTGTACATGTGCTATTAAGTCTTCTCGGTTCATTAAAAAACCTTGTCAAATACTGGACATTACTATGATGGCTTGTATAGAGCGCTCTCACTCACGTGGCAAGATACAATGCAATTTTAGTGAAAAAGAAAGTGTGTACATAAGAAAAGAGTTAAACTTCAAATACCAATATGGCCAGCCTGACATAATGTGAAAATATATTTATTTAATTATACTCTGCTAGAGTTGCACTCGTCTATCGCCTCGTGCAACTCTTACGCATCTTTCGTGCTCTCCAAACTTCCCGCGTGCATCCATAACTCGATATACGCACGCTAAGCATGAGTAGATATGTCTTGACTTCAGCTGCTTCTGGAACAAAAAAGGAAAACAAAAATCGGCCAAAACTAACTTGTCCCCTTCATACTTTTACCATTTTTAAAAATTTGATGTCACCAATGTTCACTCTCAAGCACTCGAGAAGGATTAAATGAGTTTTGTGCTCCCAAAAAGACAGGGTCTCCAATACTCCATAAGATTTCTAAGTTGCAATCATTCCAACCTACTAATATAATTTTATTGTACAGAAAGGGAAAGACCATTGTATAGGCATTGCGAATTGAGGTACTCATATAAATTTTCACAGCCCCGTTAACATTATTCAAAGCACTTCCTCAGTGGAGAAATTTGCGTTTCTTTAGATCCTTCCACTTGCCTTGTAAAACTTTTGTATCTTTTATCGGTATCCAGTATTCAAAGCTTATGTTAAGTTTTCCCGTAATAAGCAGACACTAAAACGAAGCATAATAGTAAAAATCAGTACAAATAAAAATTCTGTCAAACCTTTTAAAGTATTCGTTAGGAAGCCTAATATATAAAAACAAATATTTATATTTCGACTTTGTTTACCCTCAGTAGACGTAGGTTAGTCAAAGCGTGTTTTCGGGTAAAGTTAGAATTCCCTCACGACGTTGTGACGGCGCGCGTAGATCTAAAATCGAATTGGCCAATAGCAATGTGGCAAATTAAAAAATGGATGTTGCGTTCAGTCTTTTGTGTGAACTTTTACATTCTCATTAGACATTGTTTGATCTTTGCTAAATCTACCTAATAACCACTCGAACGTCCACTAAGGAACCTTACGTGCTTCACAAATTCGAAAAAATAAATAAAATAAAATCACTGGGGCACATTCAAGGCCGACGGTTGCACTGGTGTTAAACGAAGTAGAGACCTAATGTTGACGATCTCTTTTGCCAAGGTTGTTTACAAGAATAATTACTAACTTTTTAGTAATTAAAATATAAGCGACTAACCATTACATAAATATCTTCTTCGGTGGGTCCTGGTATCTGGATGTTTTCTTTGATATTGTTTGAAAATTTCGTGTACTGAACATCCACGTCACCAATTTTGTACAAACCAGACCAGCTTGCTATCCGATCGCCATTGAAGACATAATCACCGTTGTTTCTCTTCACAGCTGAAATGAAGAAATTCAGAATGTTATAGATGGATGAGTAAAGAATAAGCTCATCCGAAATTTAATTCGGGAACCCCGATCTCAATAGATGAATTAAGTATTTGTACATAGAGATTAGTACAAATATACAAAGTACTCTATGTCAGGACAGTGCTCCGTTTGGAAGAGGTAAAAGAAGCAATTTGCATTAGACGGTACCACCCTACCCTAACCAAGAACTGTGTCAGATCGGAAGTGTTATCCACCAGTGGAAACCTAATTATTAATTCTTGGTCTTAGGGAAAGCACCCAAGCTTTAATTTTACTTGCATTTTACTTGAATATGTGTTTTGTCGGTTTCGGTTTTTCCAGCCAGGAAAATATGTGGGTAAAAAATCATATAAGTACCTAAATAATTCCAGGTTTCATCTGAAAGAAACACACTCGTTGACCCTTTTGGAATGACCATTACCTCTGCATACCCTAATAAGAAAATTTTGTTAATAGTTACACATTGTAAAAAGTAATTTCCTGTTCAACAGATATTAAATTGTGAATCTTACACAATAAAAAGAACTCTTAGCTAAGGAAAGCCTTAATTCCCACTCATACCAAGAAAAAGCGGGAGGAATACAAAACCCTACAATAAAACAGGAAATATATATCTGTATGCTTAGCTCTTAATGTTCGACCCACAAAGCAGTGACCCTCTCACCTGACATCTTTTCAAAATGATTCGGCGATCTTTCTATTCTTCCTCTGACTGGCTCGCACGTTGTGGAATTCCCACCACATACGCGACACTTGTCAAGGTAGACACCTGACTCAAGAACATTGTCACATCCCACTGCCTTAACCATGAAAATATGCAACAAAGCAGATTACTTAAACTATATAGGCGCAGTGTCATCAAGAAAAGCTATAACTCGATTAAAACATGAATTCGGTTAGGAAAAGGTTCGTACGGAAGCTGACTAAAACTTGAAAAACTCGCTCCCTTTTCCCTTTTATCTATTTAGGAAAAATCGATTATTGCTTCCCTTTTATCGTGGAGTATAATTATTCTTTTGTTTGGCTTTGTTGTTTTGGGCTGAATGCAAAAATCCTCAACATTATAGCGTATCATATACAGTACTTCGAATCACTGTGATATTAGTCCTCTTTTTATTTTTAGACGAAAAATTCATTTTACCTTACATCGCCCACGTATACATACGCCGCGAGGTTCTTTGGAGCACTGAGTCCCATCCTTTGCTTTTCCAAAATAATAAAACAATTGTCCTCCTTGAGGGTAGCAGAACAGCAAGCACTGATTGTCACCTGAAAATAAAATACACCGAACTGGTAGCTAAAACGATATTATTCCATTTTGAAGAATTTCAATGGTGCACATGGTATACAAGCAGCTGCTTTTTAAAAATGCGAATTGTTACCGGCGATTACCTAAGTCAATAGCGAGTAAGATATTTAATTTGGGATTTTTTTGGCTTAAGAAGTTATGCTATTAAGTCTTCTCTGTTCATTAAAAAACCTCGTTACCTACTGGACATTACTATAATAGCTTGTATAGAGCGCTCTCACTCACGTGACAAGATACAATGCAAATTTAGTGAAACGAAAGTGTGTACATAAGAAAAGAGTTCAACTTCAAATACCAATATGACATAACCAGCCTGACATAATGTGAAAATCTATTTATTTAATTATACTCTTTGCTGAAACCAATTCAAATTTCCACTATAAATTACGAGAATGTTCATATACCTCGAACATATGACAGCCATTTTGCTTTGTGACCATTGATGAATATATTTCTATCGTTATAAATTCCACACTGCAAATCACGAAAACTTGTGCCTCCGGGAGGACATGCCTAAAAAGAGAGCAAACAAATCAAAGTGAAACACGCACGCAAAAATTCTGGTTGGCAGTTAGCTCTCATTCCCTTAATCACTTTATCTGCTCATCTTCCCACCCTGTCGAGATCGTATAGTGTAATTGCAAAAGGGAACGTTCAAGTAATGCTTATGGGAATAATAGGGAAATGTGGAGGGACCAAAGAACCGTAGTGATGCCAGTCTCCGATTCTCATTTGTACATCTGTACAGGAGCAACGGAGATTTAACGAGCATTGAGCGGAGCTACCTGGAGGGCGCGAGGCGCACTTTTCATGTTTTTTAGTTAAATTATCCCTGAAAGGATTTTCTACTACGTATTTGCCGTTTTCAGCTTTGCTAACAATCTGCCCGGCAGGAATAGTTCAGTCGGAAGAGCGCTAGTTTGTAGAGCGGAGGTCGTTGGTTCGATCCCCGGGGCCGGTTCTATACTTAAGAGTCTTAAAATAACTAAAAAATAAAGGTACTGCGTTTGTCCTAAAAAAAAACTCCAATAGACCTTCACGTGACAGGGACTGTCCTCGGTCTGCAAAAAAACAATAGTTCTATTTTTGATTGTTTTGCCAATTTAGCTCTCAAATAAAGCCCGTCAGTGGGATTTGCCATAACCTTTCATTCAGTCGCTGATTTGGTTGTGACATGAAACCTTTAGAAAGGAGCATACAGGTCTCCGGGCAAGGCCTGTCCACCAGAAGAGCTTGCCAAGGTTTAAGACGACCTGGTAAAGTCTTTTTGCAAAGTTGCCAGATAGATTCAGCATTTTGCTGATGTTGGAGAAGAAGTAGAACATGATACACGTACTAGGAGACCACAGACTTCTTTGAATGACAGTTCTGTACTAAGTGGCTTAGATTCTCAGCCTTGGATCTTGGTGGAAGCTGAGGAAGTACAGATTCCAAAGTCCATGATCAGCCGGGTCGGTTCATGAAGAGTGTAAGACCGGTTCCGTACCAGTTGAGAAAAGAGGAAAGGGAACAAAGGGTGAATGTCTTCTTCAAATGGTTGCAAGATCTTGAACCAAATGGCCACAAGAGTTTTTATGTTGTTACTGGTGACAAGTGTTGGATTTCTTTTCTTCAACATGAAAACGTTCCAACACGGTGTGGTTGACCGAAGATCATGAACTACGCTAGACGTCCTGAAAACAGATTCCGTGCAAGAATGATGATGTTCACAATTGTCGTCAATCTTCAGGGGCCTTTTGTTGTCGATGCAACGCGCGACGGGCTACATTCACTTCCACAAGTTACATAACTTCAGTTTTTACAACGGTTATCTTCCGTATCCAGTCAACTGCACAGATATTTAGTCGGTCCGAAATCCAGTTACATACTGAAAATGGAGCCCCTCACAAAGCTAACTTCACATGGTCGTACCTTGATCACTATGGTATGCATTTGATGGAACTCTCACCATACTCACCCGACACGGCTAGGGTAAGTATAGCTCATTCCAAAAATCAAATGATTTATTATTTGGAAGACCTTTTCAAGAACGAACACCTTGCAAAAAATTGTACATTCAGAGATGAGTGCCACACCTGCCTGAGAGTACCAGCGTATACTAGCAATTTCTACAAGATAACGTGCGGCCTTCTCGTATTTACATAAACAGGAAACGATCTATATAAAAGTATGACTAACTACGTAATAAATTTAAGGACTACCGAAAATTTCAACTTTCCTCGTAAGAACTTACACGTATATTAAGTGAACAATTAACAATTACAAAATTCGGGAAAAAAAAGGAAAACATAAATTGACAGTCGATAGTCCTACAAACAGACTAATGGCTTCTTTTTCGAAAGACCCAAACCCACTTGTATTTCACATGCTCACTTTAAAACTGTGACGCGACGACTATCGAGTGTCAGTAAAACCCCCATTCAAGGTAGAGAGAAGGTGGCTCTGTTGCTCTTTTTCTTCGTTCATTTTGTTTAAGAAAACAACAGGAAACGAAACAAAATAACAAAGGAATACTCGACTGTCTGATGGAGGATACATTTCCTCGGATTCGATCCAATATTTTGTAACTAATTCGTGCAAGGACGAAGATGATTCCCGCTAATACTAGCTCCGGAAAATCGGACTAAACTATGACGAACTTTTCTTTGGACGTTCCAACTCGTTTTGATTGTGCAATGGCTTAGCTATCCTTACCTGTGGGTTGCACGTTTCATATATTATCGGTTTCTTCACACACAATGCCTTGTTTTTCCTAGATATAGATAAATTATATAGATGATACAATACACTACTGTCAAACATAACTTACACACATTCATTTTATCACCCCCATGCAAAAGACATAGGAAACACTGGATGCCACCCTTTTCGAGGGCCTCTTTTTCTCAATTTATATAAAAGGTACTCCTTCTTTACTTTTGTAAACTGGTTACGGATTGTTGCTATGATATGATATGGACGACAAGCGAAATATCCAGAAAAAAAACCTTGGCTGGTGATTACTAAACCAACTCCCCCTTCTCCGAAACACTTCGTGGATGTGTACTTTCAGGTATCATCACTTTTGAAAAAATATCAAACCATTATAGTTCTACATTAAAAAAAAAAAAACTCACCGAAGACACAACTGTCCTCTAAATTTTACTCCAATGCCGCAGCTTCTCGAACAAGGACTCCACACTGACCATTCATAAAAGTCCTCCCCTTGTTCGAAAGTCTGGTTAATGTCTTCGCGTCCTTTTTCAAGAGCTTCATTTTGCTTTTACATGCAATGAAACAGAAGATATATTTTAATCGATTTAATCGTGATAATCAGTTGCTCTGAATGTAATGTCGACGAAAGCCCCTGACAGCTTAATCCAATTAAGAATCACCATAGGTAAAGAAACACAAAAATTACAGGCACGAGGCCAAACACCCATTTTTGTCTTTTTTTTCTTCGTTTCATTTCTTGAACAAATTGTAACAGCCAGCTGAAATTGACTACTACCCTATCAGGTGCAATGTCTACTAATTTGGCCAGAGCTTCTGGAAGCTGCATTTCTGACTGCGTTTTCAAGAAAACTAACTAAGACTGCGAACTAAGCCGGCCTGTGAAATTCTTGAGTAATATGAAATATTTATTCTCCTTGTGTGACCTTTTGGTGAAAGCTAAACTCAACTTAATCTGCACTACGATTGGCCAAGTGAGGACTTGCTTAATTTAGTTAGTTGTAAAAAATGTAATGACCTATAAAATTACTTACATTGGCTTTATATAAACTCTTATGTACAAGATACATATGAAATAATAATAATGATAATAATAATAGTAATAATACTAAAAAAAACAACACATTTTCACATGATCCCCTTTCATACTACATATTAGGACAAAGCAAGCTAAGGCAAGTTGTGACATTTCATGTGAAAGTAAACGTTAACCATTCCTAGCCTACATTGCAGACGTAACGTAACCCCGGTTAGTGTCTCGAAGTTCAGATCCGTCTCTGGCGCAGGCTACCATATTCCCTGATGGCACCTGATAGTACGTTATACCCTGTTGTTTACATAGCTACTTAGTTTATTGACCATAAATTTGCCCCTGAAGTAGACTGAGTACATTTCGCACGGTTTAGTAAGTGGTTACTTTCCACAAAGCTGTCAACGTTATAGTTTGTTTCAAATTAACGCATTACTAAAATAACAGTGGAATTTAGAATTATTCGGAAAGGTATGGACATTTAGTTAATCGTCGATTTTGTGTCAACTTGTTTTATCTTTTGGGAATCTTTAAATAAGCAGTGAAAAGAAATTATAACACAGCAGAAACATTTATTTGCAGTAGTTCAGTAAAATGGAAAAATTCATATCGTGTTGAGTGGAAAAATCCATATGCCTCTCAGTGTGCAAGAAATATTTTTACAAAACCTGTAATATATTTCCTTGCTTACTTGATTGCTTTTTGTCTCTTTCTTTTGCGGCTCTTAAAAGGATTTTAGTGAGAAAAGATTATTGTCGTACGAATTATTTTGAAGAAATTTAGGATCATTATAAAATTAGATTCCCTTTTCTTGTTGTTTATAAATCTATTTTTTGTTTCGAGAATCCGGGGTTAAAGGTACGTCTGGTATTTTTCCACAAGTGGTATTTGTCCACAACTTTAGGCCCCTAGGGTCGCGAAAAAAACGGTATGAAATTCTCTAATCACTTCAATACTTGATACTAAAGCTAATATGTCCCTAATATTTTAGAGTTTTGAACTGTCGTGGCTCAAATCCATATCAAAAGCTTAAGAATATCAACAAGATGAGATAACAGAAGTTAGGGGATCAACATCATTATACTGTGGAGCAAGAACAGGCACGGTATGCCTGTTAAAATATCTCCCGGTAGGAAGTTAAAAAGGTGATGCAATGATTTTATGTACCTACCCCATTTGCTTTTGTCGGACATCCGAAGATCACAATGTCTACAGTGATAAAGACTAAGAGACACAGCCTAAAAAACGATATCAATTGATTGTGAATACCATAAATTAACAACGGGCATAAAGATTAGAGAGTGGTAAACACTCGCCTTTATTCCTACCTTTTGAAACCGTCCATTGACCAGTTCAGCTTTCATGCATATGGTAAACTTATGAAACTTGCGTGCACTGAATAACTGTACTAATTACATTTGTCTTTTCCGTTATCTCATCACCATCGGAAGAGATATTCACAAACTACACGAACGATGAGTTATCGTTGATATGTTTAATCTGCCATTGACCCTATGGGTGCAATACTATACTTGTAATGAGTGAGAGACAAGTCAAAAAGGAAATTTTTGAAGGACTTAAACAGCCACAACAAAAAGACTTTGCAAAACTAATTTTAGCAAATCAAAACAAAACACTAAATCTATCTTTGGTTATTTGCGTGCTCCAGAATGCTCCATATCAACTTATCGTATCGATCAGAGAGCCGTCAACTTGATTGTTTTTAAGGTAATGGAAATCTGGGTGGGGAAGGGACTGGGGACACCTCCAATACCCGTCCCCGAGGGTTTAGTTTGTGTTTTTCATTAGTCTTATTTTTTTCGGACACCTAGGGCCTACGAATTCTAGACGTCCCATGCGATCTAACTTGCGTACATGCTCTGGGAGGCTCAGGTCTATAAATGGGTACCGGCGACATACTGCTGGGGGGTAACCCTGCAATGGTCTAGCATCCCGTCCAGGGGGAAGTAGTACTACTCCTAGGTGCTTCATGCTAATGAAACCCGGATAAGTGCCGGCCATTTGGGCCTTTGGCTCGTGTGCGCCGTTACCTTACCTTGAGAGAAAAAGGGAAGGCGATAAATTTCATCGTATCTACATGAGCTCGCTCGCGGTCTCTTCTCCTCACCTCTACCTTGATTTCCTAACTTATAAAAGGCTAAGTGAGAGGGAATAATCACCTAACAGTTTCAAGGGACGAAAAGTTAGTTTTACAGTGATTTTTTCATTGGCTTCGCAGTTGCCATATCGCAAGGTGCGAGACGACTCGGGCGACTGATCATATGAAAGGAGTATCCGAGAGCAACTCTAACTTCTCGCGCGGTTCTCCAAACTTGTGCGTCCATAACTCGTAAAACGTCATAGTCGTTAATGCAAGAATCGATTCTTTCATAACAAAGCGGCAACAAAGTTTGATTTGTGATTTCTTTTAATTTAGGCGTTGCGCTACATTTTTTATGTATTATTATTATTTTTTTATCTTTACGCTAAATTTTTTATAATAATAATAACAATAATAAAAGAAAGGCAAGGAGAAATAGTTGTTCTCTTTCTTTACATTCAGAGAAGGGAAAAGAAAGCAGTAGAAAAAAAGATAATAAGAGTAAAATAGAACAAAATTAAAAAACAAACAAACACGCTAGCTCAGAGATGATTCTAACATTCGGCAGAGAGACTTAGTCGAAAGTTGACTGTGAAGTACTTAAGATCTCCTTGTCCTTAGTTTCCGCCGCAATGTATTATTTTATCTAATTATTATCTATTATTCAGGTGAATAAACTAAAATTTAAGATGTGGAAAACGTAGAACAGTTGCTGTTCATTCTTTCTTTTTGCCGATAACAAAAGCTTAGACAACACCACTAGTGAACGTCTAAAAAATAGTTTATAAAGCTATGCACAATATTACTCTTCTCCAAGGGTCAAATGGCTCGGCGAGTTGTTGAGATGGCTATTCCGAACTTTCGTTTTCTGTACACCTCGCAAAAATGGTAAATATTTTAACTACCTATAGCCGTTAAAAACCGTATTGCTTTCACTGGTAACCTACATTCCCAACATTAAGGTTGTCGTACCAAAGTACTCAGCATTGCGAAGCCACAGATTGATAGGATATTCGCAAATCCCTTTCCCTGTGTAACCAGAAAAATCAAACAAGCCGGACATAGCCGAATCACGGATTGGGGGAGGGCACGATTTCAACCTCAAATTAACAAAATACCAGGGCCGCAAAGTTCCTGCCACTG